ACAAGTTGCAGAAGAGTAAAGGGGATGTTGCCGCTAAAATTGTTGTTATCCAATCTCCTGTAATAAAACACAAGTTCACAGCCCCAAAAGATGGCTTCTAAATTTCAAAGACAGAGTGGCAACGCACAAAGGCTTACAAATTCTTCAAAGAAGTCAAGGCCCCAAAAGATGTAGGAATTATTCCACTAAAACTGTTGTCATGTGCTTCACTATACCAAATAAATTGTATGTTGTTTTATGGCAAACATCTTCGTAGAAATCACTGCTTTTTGAACCTCAAAAAATGACCATTTCAGTTGGCACTTACAAGAAAACCAAAGAGCTCAAATTTCCCAAGGAAGGTGGTAAAGACCCTGAGAACTTGTTTTTGGACAGGAACAAACTCCTCAGATTGCTCAACATCCCTATCTCCTTTGGAATTAGCCCACTCAAATTGTTGTCGTTAATGATCCTGAAAATTTCATCAAAATTCATGTTACAAGCTGAGTAGATAACATTATACTATACAGAGATAAACATTTGAAAAGCTAAATCTTACAAGAACTGAAGATTTGGCAAGTTTGCGAGTTGGGGAATGAGGGGTCCAGAGAGACTAGCATTGCCAAGATCCCTTCAAACAGAAAATAAGATTTGTGTTGAAATCACAGGTAATAAAAAGAGTAAGGCTATGCATGAGGTTAAAGTTTGAGAGAGTAGAATGTGTTACACTCGGGTGACCGTGTTATTGATGTTGCAGGTGATGTGGAACCAAGTGCATGGATTTACAAGAGACGGGTCCCAGCTTTGGAGGACATTGTTTGGATCAACCAGTTCAGACTTCCATGCAGCAAGAGCATCCCCTGTCATTTCAACCACACACATTCAAAAATGCTCAAACCCTTAAGGTAATTAAGATGTTTTCTTCTAATTTGTCCCTCTAAATTTTTGTAATTGAAACACCATATACATGAAAAGTTAGAGCGTAGAATTTGAGAATGTGAATGAAAATTTCTCTGGTATGCCTTCAGTTTACCTTCTGAGTTGCAGAGGACTGCAGCAATGGAAGAAGCCAATGATAGAAAGAAAACCAAATCTCTGAAACTGGCCATGGTTCGAGTAAATTTTGACCCAAATCTTTGTTCATCTTCCGTTGCTTGTTGGGTTCCTTTTTATATGATTTTTTGGTTGAGTTTTATGGTACTGATTGAACAAAGACAGTAAGCTGAAATGTTTGCTCGGTTGAAATGGTCTAAACTTTTGAGGGTCAAATGGTTGTAATTAAAAGAAAGATTTAGAGTTGATTTAATAGGTAAAATCACTTCATAAGAGTTATATGTATATGTATATGTATATAATGGTCAAATTCCAATTTATAGAATAATATATATCGTGGAAGAGAAAAATCAAGGCTGTATTAATTTTAATTAGGTATCTGTCATGGGGCCTACTCATTTGAATAAATAAATGTGTTCAAAGGTAGAACGTTGCATTTGGAAACTGCCTATTGGAAGATTACGTGTAACTTCGAGAACTATTTTTTTAAGATTTAAGGTGAGGAAATAATGAGTAATTAATCATATTTTATCATTAAGAACTTCTGTTAATAGATTTCTGGAAGATTGAACAATAAAATGTATTAATTTATGGAGAGACCAAGTTAGAATATATTGGCACCATCTGTTCTGTTCTGAATGCTTGACTCGATCTTCTTTGTTGAACTTTGTGGCACATAAAATAATATTAAATGTCCTGAAATAAAAATAACCTTTGTAGGGTATAATTTATAATTATGTGCTCTCTAGCTCTGTGTTTTGGTATTTTTGGATAGTGCACAGTAGGTTGAAAAGAGGACGAAGAGTGAAGTGTTGAGTCTATAGGGTGACCCATAAAAAAGATTCTCTGAAAATAGGCGTTGGGGGGGGGGGGGGGGGGGGGGGGGGGGGGGGGGGGGGGGGGGGGGGGGGGGGGGGGGGGGGGGGGGGGGGGGGGGGGGGGGGGGGGGGGGGGGGGGGGGGGGGGGGGGGGGGGGGGGGGGGGGGGGGGGGCTTCATCTATAGAAATGGCCAACACCAACACCAATTTTAGAAGTTCAATTGTACAGAATATATTCCGAGGCACAAATCTCGATGAGTGTAGAGTGTAGAGTGCATAGCATGTTGTTGTGGAGCTGCCGCTAATTTTAACATATAAAACCAAACTTCAATCCACACATACACAAATTCTCCTTTTGGTTCAAAAGGAATGCACACAAGGGGGCTTTAATTCCTTTTCTACTCGGGAAGAAAGGAAGTAATGTTCAACATGGGAATGGAGAGTCATGTATTGTAGCCAAGGATGACTTGCCTGCAGCCTGCAGCCTGCAACTCCATGAAAGGGATCTGTAAAAGCTGCCATCGTCTTTAAGCGGACGTTCTGCCGTGGCATACCCCCTGCAGGCAGTCTCTTTGGCTATCGAGACCGGCTCTTATTTCTCATGCCGGGCCTTCGCTTCCAGATTCAAAACCGCAGCATTCCAATTAGATTCATCTGCATCTGGGCAGCACCCCAATGAACTCAGGTATATCATCTTTTCCAAGATGTTTCTTCACGGCTTACTTGTGTGATACCAGATAGTACCATCAAGGATCAGAGTTCAAGTCCCCTCAAAACCAAGCAGGAAAACCAAATTAAGAAGGAAAAGAAGCCCCTATGAACGATTCGTCCGAAGGGGGAGATGCATGGTCAAAATGTAATTTGAGAAGTTAAAAACAAATGACGATAGGGGGATGCAGATAGTGTGCAGCCAAGGGAAATTAATTGGACAAACGTATGCAATCTAGACTTGTAAGGTGAATGAACAAAAGGTGTATGAAATGACTTGTAAGGTGAATGAATAAAAATATGTACTTGGTTCTATCACGAGTGTACGTATGCACACATCTCCAATCTTTGCCTATCCCTCCTAAGTGTAACAAGAATATCTCAACAAGAGCACAAGAGTAGAGCAAAAACTGACTGCACACAACGGAAAATAACCGCGTGGAAAAGTAGCAGCTCGTGAAAATCAAGCAGGCAACGCAAGGCTTTGCTGTGTCCAGTTTGAAGGATCCATCACAGCACACTTATCCAATTTCTCAAAATCGCCAACCTAAACAAAAGATAGATAGAATAGTTAATTACTCCAATTGTCTATAACAGAGCAAAGTGTCAAATAATCAACATGTAGATTACAAGAAGCAACTGAGAGAATGAAAGATGACCGGAAATAGTCATACCTTTTCCTTGCAGCTGGGGCAATAGTGATACTTGTGCCAAAGGCAGTCCATTGAAGGACAAAGAAAGCATACTCCCAACATAAGTGGAATCATACAACCAACCACAGCAGCTGAACTTATCTTTGATCTGTAGAGGTCACGAAAGTATCATAACCAGATGAAGAACAAACATAATTATTCAATTGAACGCAAACAGACAACATCCGCCTCTCTCCCCCCACTCCCCGCCTACATCTTCTTGGTCAAAATAAATGTACACAAACTTTTGCTGTTCAACCATGATAAATCATATCGGTGGCCTGCTACCAACAAGTGTTGAGCTTACGTGCATCAACATTTTTTGTAAGAGTGTAAGCAATTCCAACATTTGGGCTTATAGTCCTTTATGCTTCTATCACTAAAAACAAACCTATTTGATTTATGCTATTATTGTGATTGTCATAGATGTTGTTGAACAAAAAAAAAAAATCGATTTGACTGACAAGTCCTGCACGATAAAATTTCAAATGCCCCGGTTGCAAGGCAAAGCAATGCTGCCTCACTAACAATAATAATGCTCGGAGCATCTTTGGTAAAAGTAAACCAATTGAATGTTTGTAAAATGAAAAGGGATTTACAACCAAACAAAAGTTGTTGGTATGGTGTAAAGCATTTGGGAGGCCTTGAATTTATATCACTTTGCACCTGCGTCCTGACTGAACTGTTATATAATCCAACTAGATTTATGTAAGAAGCCAAACACAAACAGCAATCGCTCGGAACTACCACAATCTGGTGAACATTATTATTTAACCATAGTAAAGTAAATAATTTGAATTACTTGTTAAAACATATCGACAAGCACCACAAAATACTTGCCTTGGGTTGTAAGCAAGATCAACCCAAAACAATTTTACGCATACAAGTATTCAAATCCTAAACACCAAAATTAGGTGAAAGAAAGAAAAACGGGGAAGGCCCATTGATCAATCAAATAGAAGTTCCAAAAAAAAAAAAAAATAAATAAATAAATAAACGCAGAATTTCAAAAAGATAAAAGAGAGGAGAAAAGCAACGCAGACGCAGTGGTAGAGAGAAGGTAGAAAGGGCACCTGACGGTGGTGAGACCGGAATTTCCACAATAAACACAGTAGAAAGGAGCAGGAGTGTCGCGGAACATGGTTTGCTGGATAGGAACCCCCTGGGGATCGTCAAAGATGGCGTCGGGCGCGGTCTTTCCGACCTGAGTTCCGACGACCGGGGTGTCGTCCTTGGACATGTTTGGAAAGGTTTTTCCCTGTGGTGGTCCGACGGCGAATCGGAAAAACGAAAAACGGCGGTAGGGGAGGATTACAATGGAAGGGAAGAGGAGAAATTTGGCGTAAGAAAATTGGTTTAGGTTTGGCCTCGCATGGAGACGTCGTATGATAGCTTCGTTTTTTCTTTTTAATTTAATTGGGGTTTACGAAAATGCTAAATTAACTGAACTATGATGCTATTGGTCCAAAATTATAAGTTTGAATTAACATGATCTGAAAACAATTAATTATTTATTGGTTGTCTCCAATGATGGAACAAATAGCGGACGTGACATTCAGATATTCCAAATGCTCAAAACAAAAAGAGACACTAATTTTGAAGAGGAAGAGGAAGAAACACAGGACAATTTTAATTCAATTCAATTCAATTAACCTAACCAATTCTAACACCAATACTTTCTTCTTCCCAACAACCCCCACGCGCACCTTCACTTCGTTTGCTTTTGCTATTTTCTTTTCTTTTTTTCTTTAAACGAATTTCAATTCCCTTTCTTCTTCTTCTTCTTCTTCTTCTTCTTCTTCTTCTTCTTCTTCGCCTTCTCCGCCATGAAATCTCCCGATATGGCCGCGATTACCCATTCTCTCGAGCACTCTTTCCGCACCTTCTCCCTCAACCACCGTCTCGCATCGTCTTCCCCTTCTTTCTTGGACCACGAACAACCTCATCATCAGCTCCACACTACCTTGGACCTCAACTCTCACATCTCCCTCCCTCCTTTCTGGGAACAATGCCTCGATTTGAAGGTCTGTGTAACCATTCTCGACTTGCTTTTCATTTTGTCCTCTTCTTTCTTGTTCCACCTTCCAGTTCTTTCGTTTTTCCTTTTTTCTTCTTCTTTTCCTCTTCTAACCTCCCTTCATTTAATGCCAAAGCCGCATATGGCAGATCTCTGGAAATTCTGTTGTCTTGTACTTTTCATTAATTTTATGATAGCTTTGGGTTTGATCTTTAATGACTTTCTCATCCCATTAATTTGCCTTTATCATTTGCTTTCTTCGTTTCTTTCCTTACTGCCGCTCGGAATCGAAACCCTAGAATTAATTAATTTCACACTTCCTTTATCGTCCGCCATTTTTCGCTTCTCTTTTCGTACGACAGATCAGAAACAGCTTTCTGGATTTTGGATTCCCTGCCTCTTCTATTTTCTTTTATTTTTTTCTTTCCAATTTTCAATAAACTTTTGCGATTCAGTTCCGTTTGGTCTTCCAGACAGGGGAAGTCTACTACAGAAACTGCCGGACCGGAATGAGAGTAAAGGAAGATCCGAGGAGGGCGAAAGATTTATACTCGGAAGACGACGACGACGACGACGACGATGATGACGAGAGCTCGTCGGACGGGGGCAGCGAGGAATCGTGTTCTTCGTCATCTTACGCCGGTAGTAGACAGCAATACCCGAGGGAAAACGAGGAGGAGGTGCTGGTGGTGGCGGGATGCAAGCGATGCTTCATGTACTTCATGGTGCCGAAACAGGTCGAAGGTTGCCCCAAATGCAGCAGCAGTCGTCTTGTTCATTTCGATCGGACCCACGACAATAATGGCTTCCCATGACAAGGAACCATATATATTTCTGAAAAAGAAAATCAAACTGTAATTAGGTTATATGACCTGACAAAAAATATTTGATTCTTTTCCTTGGGATTAAAAGCAAATGGGGTTTGAATTTTTCTTGTGCTCTAGCTCGCGTCATGTCCAGGATGTGTATGATGTCTCAGTGTGTGTTGATGCGTATGGATTAAAAAAGTTTGATTAATTGGGAAGAGAAAGAAAGAGAATCTCTGGCATGGGCTGCCATGGATATGCCTGAGAGAGGTACGAAAAAATGTGCAGGTCTGAAAGGGATGGTCAACGACTCAAACCAAGAAGAAGGAATATTATTTTGCTCGTGAAGACAGCGACTTGTTGCTTTCATTACAACCCACCAAACATTGAATCGGACGCTGTGATTTTTTTATTATTATTATTATTATTATTTTATTTTATGGGTAAACTGTGATTATATAATGGAAATGAATATGAAATGATTTAAAATACAAACATACATTAATAAAGCTCAACCCTTTTTGTTATAACTTCTTCTCGCATTGAATGCCACAAAATTATCGATACAGTTTTAGTTATGTATATATTTTCTTGTATGACGTGAGTTGAAGCAAATGATGCGGAGGGGTGCCTAGAAATGAACCCAAAGCCGAAAGCCATTGATTTGATGGTTGACAACTAAAGAATTCTTTATTTATAATTAGGGGTTGACTTTTGTATTGTAATTATTTATTGGACAGCTTACATCCATGTTAGGTGGCATCCAATTGGAAAAGGGTGAAACGCAAAACTATGATTAATTTGTAGTTTTGAATATTATCCCGATTCATTTATGAATTGCATAACAAAGGAATTCCGTGTTTGGGGCGAGCCCGCCCATGTAACCTACCTGAACCAAAATTAGAGACCCAAAAAGAAGAACTAATTGAGAAGCAAGAAAGAAGAAAGAGTCGGAGAGAGAGTGAGAAACGTTAAAGACGGCGACGGATCTGTAATAGAAGATTGTGATGGGAGATGTATGTTGAAGAGACTCGGAAGCCGCCCTGAGAAACAGAAACAATGAGGATGCTGGAAATGGCAGAGTGAATGGGTGCAAGGACAGAGAAGGAGGAGGAGAGGGAGGGAGGGGGACTTCGAAAGCTTCTGTTGCGGCGAAGAAGGTCAAATAGCATTTTTGCGGTTTAGAAAGAAGGATGCATACGATAGATGTGGATCCTAATTTCGAAACTTACAAAAACAGGCCCAACACACTTACACACCCTATTATGGGCCTATCTATATTCATCACCCTCGCTGTTATTATTTTTTTTTAACAAAAATAAAGGGTTTTATTTTATGATATACTACGATAGTATAAAGTGAGGGCAATGAGAATAGGAGTCTCATTACTGTAAAAAACAGAAAGAAAAAAACACTTACGGGGGAGCTGAAAACTGAGCAATGACAAAAAAAAAAAAAAAAAAGGCTGAAAATAAAGCAAACAGCGGCATTGCGTTCTTGGAATTATTAAACTAACTGCCTCATTGCATTACAAACAGTTCAAATTCATTCATCTGTTATATAAAAAAGAGAGGAAGTAGGTGACGGGGCCCAGCAGGGGAGACCCCCCCCCATGAAGTCCGGCTTTGCACGCGCAGTCAGGTTCCGATGGGAGGGACCCACACCCGGCGCACGTCCATGCAAACACCACCCCCTGGGTCCCACTTTCAAAGCACGTCCCTGCTGTCATGTTTTCTTTTTCTCTATTTGCCCTATTTAATATAGATTTATTTATTTTGTGTGAAATAATTGAAGGAGAAGAATCAGATGAAGGTATAAAGTGCAGAAGAGGAAGGAGAGAAAGAGAAAGAAGAGGAGACGGGGGATTTGTGCAATTCCTCATTATTAAAACTTTCCATTTCCCTTTTCATTTCAAAGTGGCAAAATATTATTTATGTAATGCAGAGTTTGAATATATGAAAAGTAAAAGAAAAAAAAGAAAAAGGAAAAGAGGGAGCCCTTTTGCCTTTGTAATCATTTCTCCCAGCCCCCCAACTCGAACAAATTTTAAAATTTGGAACACAAACAAAAAGTGAATCTTAGCTTTGGGTGCCCTCTAACTAAGACTTGTCTCCATCACAAGATCGTGTTGGTGTGGGGCTTACAACCCAAACCCTAAATTCAATTACTATTCCTTCCTTCCTTCATCCTTCCATGCCTGTAAACCAAGTAATAAAAATAAAAAACCAACCAACCAACAAGCCGCTTTGTTCCTTCATATCCAGATCTGACCCATCCAGTGTGCCCCCACATTCCCATGCCCTTACCCGCTTCGCCCTTAGGCTTCACCCTTAAATTCCCAGTTCCACCACATGCATGCACTGACATGCACACTCACCCTAAACCCACTTCTCATAAAACTTAAAAAACACTTATTATTATTCCTTCATCATTTTTGTTAATCTAACACTCAAATTACTACTCAACCAAGTTACACAACTGACATGTTCTATCACGCCACATCATACGTACTTCTAAGTTAAAAGGAAAAAGGAAAAAGAAAGAGAAAAAGGCGAATGCAGGGGGCAAGAAAGCAAGAAAGGATGTGTGGGGATACAAAACTGGGGCATTGACCCCCCTCATGCAAAACTCCCCATATTCCCCAAATAAACCAGATGCTCTTTCCATATTCCCCTCTCTCTTTCAATTTGTAGAGAGAGAAAGAGAGAGGAGATAAAGGATAGGCTTTTGTTTATTGTTTGATGGGTTGGCAAGAAAATGGTCAGCTTTTTCAGATCAAAACATATTTTCCTTTTAGTTTTAACTTGGGTACGTATCCCATGCCTTTTTATATATGTACACATATATATAACATCAATAAACAAGTATATTATATTGAATTTGTTAAATAAATGCCAAGAGAATTTAAAATAAAAAATAAACCCACGCCAGCCTCCATGGCTGACGCTTCCCCATCCCATATGTCTTTTTGAATGAATGTTTCGATTCTGGGATCGAGGACGAACACCATCATCATCATTCTCTGTTTTCTTTTTTTCTTTTTTTAAAATTTAATATTCTCTTGTTTGTTTAACAATATTCTCTGATGGATTCCTTTCCTTTCCTGGTTTCTGATTATGGCCTTCCACTTTGGCCAATCTTTAAATTAAATTAAATTAAATTAAATTAAATTAAATTAAATTATTAAACGAGTAGGCGACTGTTTTGTTTTGTTTTTTTTTTTAATTTTTTCCAATTCCCGAAACCAGAATGTAATTGTGGGATAATGAGGAGGAGGTTTTTATGCGATGTTGTAAAAACAAATAAGTAAATGAATAAATAAATATTATAGTTGTTGAAGAATGAACAATATATAAGAGCAAGGAGTGGGCACCTTGTTATTCATATTCCCTTTGTTTTTTTGTATCCCTCCACCCCGCAAGCTTCCAAAGAAACAGAATGAAAGGGAACTGAGATTTGCAACATTCATTCATTCATCCATTCATATAAATTCAATTCACTTCCTTCCTCCTACTTCATCTCCTTTTCCTGCGATGACTCATTTCCAGTCTTCTTCCCATACTCCCAACACTCCCAACCATAACTCTCTTCATGACCCCTCCGCCCCCCCTGATAAGGCTTGGCTCCGCCTTAGCATCGCCCCCACTCATCTCCACCATCCTCAACCACCCGCCTTTGCCTTTGACGCCGCCGGACTCAAAATAAATGAGTCTTTGCCTCACCTTTCCACCCCATTTCAACTCCACCCTGCACTTCACCCTCCTACCTCCAACTCCCACGTCCTCAGGGTCATTGACCCTCCCCGCCGCCCTCAATCCGGGATTTGGTTTTCTCTCCAACCTTTGGAATTAAACCAGTATGAAAACTCAACCTAATTACACCCCATCTTACGTTTTTGTGAATCCCCATTTTTTATTTTATTTCTTGTTTACTTTTTGTAATGTAGAGGGAAACACCCGGCGTTGCCTCAGAGATCCACCACCTACTTGAGAATCAAGTATCATTTCTTGTCCTTTTTTTCTTGTTTTTCTTAAAGTAGGATGTGGGTTTGATTTCAAATCTTCCGTATAATATAGGTTGATTAAGTTTTATGAAGCCTGTAATAATTAAGTTTGAATGGTTGTGAAGGGATGGAAGAATGAGAGTTGGATTAGTAATGAAGTATTTGGTGAAAAAGCTGAGACTGGAAAGCGAAACAGAGGTATTTATTAATAAACACACTTCTTCTTCCCCTTTTTCTTCAACACACATGTTGTTTGAATAAAATTTGTTACCCAGAAATCGAATTTAATATGTTAATCCCTTCTCTACCATCTTGGTTATTTAGGTTTAACCTAGTCTTTCTTTACATTTAAAAAAGAAAAAAAAGAAACACAGAAGTTTGTAGTAGTATTACTTTTAGGAATATGGGTGTGATTGAGATGAAAAGCTTTTGTCTTGTCGATATCTAGGAAATTGGGTCATTTTTTTAATCTTTCTAAAAATTGGGGCTCAACCTTTCTTGTCTGATTCGTTATGGATGCTTGTGTGTTTTTTTTCTTTTTCCTCTCTCTCGAAAAAAAGAGAAAAGAAAAAGAAAAAGACAAGAGTGGTATGAGTAAAGGTTGATGAACAGATTTAATTTTAAAATGATGGGATTATGGGTAAAACAAATCATAAAAACCGACACCAAAACCACGAACAAATGAAAAATATTAACAATAAACTCAAGAAGTTAGAAAAGGGGTTGCTAATTTTTGTATTCATAGCTGTTCCTCAATATAATTGAAACTCAAGAATCGATGTTACTGCAAATAATGAAAGATAATTGAAGGAGATGCATGTGTAGGAGAGGTTATGTTTTAAAATGGTGTTAAAATGGCCATAAATTGATGTTAAAACGAGGTTATGTTTCTTCCTACGCATTATTTATAATTTTTTGTTTCATTATTTTCTACAATTATTGATGTCACCAATACTATATAATTGAAGACTTGATTATCATGTGTAATATATATTTGTGATTATTTAGGACACGCCCAGGCATTCCGTTTGGTGAGCATTAGAACGAGGAGTCAACTCAACTCTAATTATGAAGCCCTTTTGTTGTATTTTATTTTATTTAGTATGATATTGATATTGATATTGATATTGATATTGCATGGAACAGACAGCTATTGCATGCCTTATTGTTGTCTTCGTTGACTCGGAATTAGAAGTCGATGTTTGTGATTATTGTCTATTTGAATTGGATTTGATAATATAATAATAACGGAAAATGGAAATGAAACGCAGGTAGAGATATGGTGCAGAGGGGAAAAGGTGGAAGGTTGGTTGACGATGCAGCAGATTAGAGACAACATATGGACCTCTCAACACTCCTCTTTGACTTTGCTTCCACATTCCTCAACCATTCCTCACATCATGCTTCTTCACTACTCCTACTCCTACTCCTACTCCTACTCCTACTAATCCCCTGTTCCCCATTCTTCCTCTTCTTTCTTAAGCTGTTCAGTGTAATTATTTACTTTCCTCCTGCCTCTTGCTAATTCATTTCTTTTTCTTCCCTCTGCTCTGTTCTGTTCTCTTCTCTTCTCTACCCGGCTACCCGGCTATAATGCAAATTAATGGTATGGGCTCATTGTACGGCCTTTGTTGGGCTTGGGGGAGGCGGTGGACGTCAAGGCCCAAAATGAATGGTTTATTCGGGTTTTGGGTTAGTTGTGAGGACCCTAATTTGTAGGCTAATTACCAAATCAAATAACAAAACAGGGGAGTCGGGCGGACCCAATCACTCACCCACCCAGGCCTGATGAGTAACGAACACCCAGACCCACATAACCCACTCTCCGTTTTTTGATTTTTGATTTTCGATTTTCGATCTTCTCTCCGTATCTTCCCCAAATCATTTTCTTCTCCAAATGCTTTGCGGATTTCCAGATCTCCCCTCCCAATTCTATTCTTCTCCCTACTCGCCTTTCTTTCTTCGAATCAATCATCGCGTTACCCTTTTTCTTCCGCCGAAGGAACAACAAAGAAACTCCCCGATTCCCAACCGAACTTTAATCTAATTTTCGAATGCCCCCATTTATTTCCCTTCAACAACATCCGTCCGCTTCTTCTCCCTTATTGCTTCTTCCACATTTTCTAACAACTTCATGCTATTTATGGTACTTTTCGGATCTCATTCGAACCATTTCTCGAAATTTTCTAAGAAACCCTAGGTGGGGTTAATGGGGAAACACACCAACTGTCTTAAAACTCAAGACGTCGAAGAAGGGGAAATCTCTGATACACCTTCAGTTGAGGAGATCACTGAGGAGGATTTTAATAACCTTGAAACTGTCCCTAAGCTGCTGCCTTCCAAACATTCCAATCGGGAGACTACAGTTTGGACCATGAGTGATTTGTATAACAATTATCCCACCATGTGTCGTGGTTATGCTTCTGGTCTCTACAATTTAGCTTGGGCCAAGGCAGTGCAGAATAAGCCTCTCAATGAAATCTTTCTTACGGAGGCCGACCCCGACGACAAATCCCACCGCTCTTCTTCCTCTCCTTTTCGGAATGCCAAGGAACATGGAAACGGTACAATAGAAGAGGCTGCTAAGCTCATCATTGATATTACCGGCGACGACATGAATACCAACAATGCGGATGTCGAGAAAGAGGAAGGCGAATTGGAGGAGGGCGAAATTGATATGGATACGGAGTTCGTAGAAGAGGTTGTTGACTCCAGACCAATGTTGTCCGACTCTCTCGATACTGACTGTCAGGAGATTGATTTCAAAAATAAGGAATTGGATGATCAGCTCAAATTGGTTCACAAAACATTGGATGGTGTTACAATCGACGCTGCACAGAAGTAAGTGAATCCATCTACTTACGTTGTTACGTTGTAGATCAATTGCTGAATGGTGCTATGTCATGCGTCCCCAATATGAAATTACCGGGTTGCTGGAAAATTTACTGTCTCGTTTCTTTCTTGTAGATCGTTTCAGGAAATTTGCTCCCAACTGCTTAGTTCTATAGAGACGTTTCTGGAATTGGTCCAGGGAAAGGTAGTCCCGAGAAAGGATGCGCTCATTCAACGACTGTATGCTGCTCTTCGAATAATCAATTCTGTAAGGCACCCCAAGAATCTCGGTCCTCTTTCGTTTGCCAAATAAATTTCATTTTGACGGGAAATCTTATTTAACGTATATTATTAACTGACGATAATGACAATGAACACTCATTTTCCATCTCAGGTGTTTTGTTCCATGAACCCCAAGGAAAAAGACGAGTATAAGCAACATTTATCGAGGTTTTTGCTCATCCTTGTCCGTAGTTTCTTTTTCATGTGAAGGGTTAGTCTGTTTGTCTACTATCTAACGACCACTTGCTGTGATATTGTTCATAGGTTGCTTTCTTTTGTTAAAAATTGCAACCCTGCTCTTTTTTCTCCTGAGCAGATAAAATCGGTACGGTATACTTTCCTTAGTCTGCTTGTTGTTACTCCTTATGCTGATTCTGGCAACTTATGGAGGAGGTTGTGATTAGGTGCTAAGATAAAGCCACAATATTATTCTACAGGTAGAGGTCAAAATGCCATCTACAGATTCCCTTGACCATTTCCCCGACATGAGAGACAGTGCTAAAGATGTCGAGATCCATATACCTAATGGGGTGAAAAATAAGGACTTTTATTCTGCATATGCAACTGCTACTCCACATTTAACTTCTTCAACTAAGTTGCCTTCAGACTCCATGCCTGTTGGGGTTACGGTAAAAAATAATCTAAATCTCTCATCAGACAGTTTGCTATCTGGCGTACCCAATGTAAAAGGTAGAGGTCCCCTACTCCCTCTGTTAGACCTTCACAAGGATCATGATGTGGACAGTCTCCCATCACCTACCAGAGAAGCTCCTACAGTTTTTTCTGTCCAAAAATCAGGGCATATCCCTGTGAAGGTGGCACATGCTATGGATGGATCGAGAGTACATCCTTATGAAACTGATGCCCTAAAAGCTGTTTCAACCTATCAACAGAAGTTTGGTCGAAGTTCCTTTTCAATGGCTGATCGACTTCCTAGCCCAACCCCTTCAGAAGAATGTGATGGGGGTGGTGATATTGGTGGGGAGGTTTCTAGTTCTTCCATTTTCAGAAGCTCAAAAGCTTCAAATTCTTCTAAACTGGCTCAAACGGTGTCAAATTCTGCTTCTAGCATATCTACAGGTCTTTTTCCTAACCTGGAAAGTTCCAGCACTAAGGGACTGATTAGTCCTTTAAACGTTGCTCCTCCTAGTTCTGTGTCTAATCCAATAGCAAAGCCTTTGGCAAAAAGTAGAGACCCTAGGCTACGAATGGTCAATTCTGAGGCAAGTGCTATGGATCTTAATCCACGCACAATGACTTCTGTGCAGAATCCTTCTGTTGTAGAATCTGCTGTAACCGTAAACATGAGAAAGCAGAAGATGGATGTAGAGCCTAATATAGATGCCCCTGAAATGAAAAGGCAGAGGATTGGATCTCAGAATCATGCATTTTCTGCAAGTGATTTGAGAGCTGGCTCTGGAAGCGGTGGCTGGTTGGAAGATAATACCATGTCCGCTGTTCCCAGGCTTTCAAGCAGGAATCAGATGGAGATTGCTGAAGCAAATGCAATAGAAAAAAACAACGTTACAAACAATTCTGGTGCAGGAAATTCGCGTGGGCCTATGATAAGTGCTAGCAAAGAAGCTTCCTTGCCCTCACTATTGAAAGATATTGTTGTGAACCCAACCATGCTCTTAAGTTTACTTAAAATGAACCAACAGAAGCAAGTAGCTGCAGAATTGAAATTAAACTCGAGTGAACCTGAAAAAAATGCAATTTGTCCTACGGCCGTGAATCCTTGTCTAGGATCCAGTCCACTAGTAAATGCTCCTGCTGTGACCTCAGGAATTTTGCAGCAATCAGCAGGAACACCAAGTGTACCTTCACCACCGGTGGTCACTGTGGTAAGTGATTGATTACATCACAACTCTTTGCATTATAAAACTTCTCATTATTTTTGTCTCCTTGATTGATAAGGGATCGTTTACCAATCAAGGGGTTGGTAGTATCCTTTACACAAGTGCTTGGGCTCATCTTTCTTCTAATCTGATTCAAGAATTTATTAAATGTTCTTTTTTCCCTTTTTTTCTAATACAACTCATTCTTTGATTCAAACAAATGGTGAAGGGTGCTTTTTCCACGTTTTCTTGGATATATTCTAATTCTATGCCGTTGAAACATTTGTGAGATTGTTTATTATTTTCAATTTTTCTGTGTAGTGTAGTATCTGTATTTTTATTCTAGATTAATAATGTACTTATTTTAGATTCTGCACGTTTCACTAGGATGATGTGGGAAAAGTTCGTATGAAACCTCGTGACCCTCGCCGTATCCTCCATGGTAATTCTCTTCACAAGGTTGACAGCATGCGAAATGAGCAGTTAAAAAGTGTTGTACCAGCTGTTCCAAACCCAGAAGGAAGTAGGGATATAATACCAAATGGCCATAAGCAAGAAGGCCAGGGAAATTTGAGATTAGCTTCTTCACAACCATTACTACCTGACATTGGTAGACAGTTCACTAACAATCTGAAAAATATTGCTGATATCATGTCTGTTCCCTCGCCACCAACTTCTTCTCACAATTTATCTTCAAAACCAGTTAAATTGGACAGAAAGGATGCTAATGCTGTTGGGTCAAGCTCTATTGACAGTAAAATTGTGGCAACTGCTACCCAAGCGGTAGATATGGTTGGCCCCTCCCGTTCACATGGTGCATGGGGAGATCTTGAGCATCTTTTTGAGGGTTATGATGACAAGCAAAAGGCTGCTATCCAGAGAGAAAGAGCAAGACGGATAGATGAGCAGAAAAAAATGTTTGCTGCACGCAAACTCTGCCTTGTTTTGGATTTGGATCACACCCTTCTGAATTCAGCTAAGGTTATTTTTCCTTTTACAAATGAAAACTGATTTCACCATCAAACTTGGAATTACAATCCCATGACTTGGTTTGTTCTTGTTCTAGTTTGTGGAAGTAGATCCATTGCATGATGAAATTTTGAGGAAGAAGGAGGAACAGGATCGTGAGAAGGTGCAGAGACATCTTTTCCGATTTCCTCATATGGGAATGTGGACCAAACTACGGCCTGGGGTCTGGAACTTTTTGGAAAAGGTAGGTTGAATATTGAAGTTGTTTTCAACACAACTAATCCAAATAATAGAAGACTCTTCTTTCATCTCTCTTTATAATTTTAAAAAAAATATTTTTTCTTTTAAAGTGTACTGGATGTTGAATGCACATTTTGGTGCTTGTGGTTTCTTTTGCATTTCAGGCCAGCGAGCTCTATGAACTTCATTTGTACACAATGGGAAACAAGTTATATGCAACGGAGATGGCAAAGGTTCTTGATCCAAAAGGGGTTCTGTTTGCCGGGCGAGTTCTTTCTCGAGGTGATGATGGAGACCCCTTGGACGGGGAAGAAAGGGTACCCAAGAGTAAGGATCTGGAGGGTGTTTTGGGCATGGAGTCTGCTGTTGTTATA